GAACTGACCCGTCGCTTCCCCACGCGCAAGAAACTCCAGAACGGTTTGGTGTGAGCCCGTCGCCCGTCGACACTGTGGGGCCTGTGGGGTTGATGCGGCCGGGCAGGCCGGGCAGGCACTGGTGCCTCATCAGTATGCATTATTTGGTTAGCCGAACGCTGCCCCGCGGGGACACTCGTCCAGCACTACCCTCTGGTCCGACTCCGGACCCTCCGGATAGGAGCCCTCCGGCGCTGGCCGAGCCCGGCCCTCGGCGGCCCTCGGCCCGGGCCGTCGTGAGAGGCGCCCCGAGGTGACGTTTATGAGTTTTCGGGGAGAGTTGTGGGCGAGGCGCGGCGCGGATGGCCGGGGCGCTGGACTCGCGTGGCGTCAAGGGTTTGGCTTTTAATGGCCGGAGATGTGATTATTCTTCGTCGCCGCATATTTGAGGTGCCTAAATTATCGGACACGTGTTGGGCGCGTGAGCAGCCCGAGCTGGGCCCCGGGCCGAGCGGCCGAGCCCCCGGCGCGAGAACAGTAAACACGGTGAACACTCACCTTGCAGCCTTGCAGGGCGTCCGTCCGTCATCCCTTGACAGCGGTGCAAGGACTGGTGCAAGGTGCCCGACGGACAGACAGACAGACAGACAGACGGGCGGACAGACAGGTAGGCAGACACGCTGACGCAAATACGGCGTTATTATGCGACCTGGTGGCCAGACTGGCCAGCCTGCAGACGACCTGTCTCTGTCTCCCTCGCACTCACGGGTCTTTCCCCACGGGTGAGAGAGAGAGAGAGAGAGAGAGAGAGAGAGAGAGAGAGAGAGAGAGAGAGAGAGAGAGAGAGAGAGAGAGAGAGAGAGAGAGAGAGAGAGAGAGAGAGAGAGAGAGTGCCTGCGGGCCCGCTGGGCGTGTCCGGCGGCGGCCTTAGCGCCGCCACAAGGGTGTCGAATATCGAGCGTCCTTTCGGCGCGCCGCGCAGAAGGCTTATCCCACGACAACCAGTTCCTCGAGCCCGTCTACTAGTCGGACCGACAGAGGACCTTCGCACGCCGCTCCGCGCTCCGCCCCGCCGTCCTGCTGCAGCCATTCAGTTATTAGCGCTCTCGGTGGCCGCCGGCACCAGCCGCCGATAGTGACGCACCCCCAAAACGCTAGAAACGTGTGAAATAATTAGTGGCCGCTTCTCTCCTCGTGGGCGTGGCACGGCGTGGCGCGGCGTGGCGCGGCGTGGCGCGGCGCGTAGCGGCGGCATGGCCTTTGCCAAGTTTTACGCGCTGCCGACGACGTGACGACGTCTGCGCCGACTCGTTTGGGCCGCACCGCCGCCTCGCCGCCGTCCTTGCGACCCGTCCGGGTCACTTTGTGTTTTATTTGTCGCCGGGCCAAAACCACCTAAACGATAGAGACGGGGCGAGCGATTCGCAGCACGCCGTCGGCGACGGCGGCCGCCTCGGGGTTGGAACTGGTCGCGCGTGGCGTCGCCGGGGCAAGCAGCCGCAAGCCGGCGATGGAACGGGTTCCTGATTGAGCCTTACAGTGGGCGTAACGCAGGGCGCTGCGCCGGGCCATGGCCGGGCCGACGGGCACGTGACTGCAGTCCGCAAGGACTGACTGGCAAAGACCTGCGAGGCAGCCTGCAGCTCGAACCACGTCCAGGAGAGAGCGATTCCGTGAGTCGTTTTCATCGCTCTGTCTCGTTCGCACCAGTAAGGGTCGCCCCATGAGTGCCAGAGAGACAGGGAGAAGAAAACGACTCTCGGAATCAGTCTGCAGTGGCCAGTGGCAGTGTAGTGGCTGCAGCGGCGAGTCACGAAGAGGGAGCGAGCGGCGAGGTCGTTAGCGACTGCACTGCGAAGCCTGCGAAGCCGAAACGCGTAGAAGGGAAGGCCTTCCTGGAAACGCAATATGCAGAGTGACTGCTCCACATACCCCACATCAGCCATCGCGACGGATCCTTGGAGAGGCTGCCCGCCACCACCTGCACTCGGAATCAGTTCCGCGGGCGCGAGCACGTTGGGTTGCCTACCGCCACGGCGCTCCGCCCTCCGACTGAGCACGTTGGGTTGCCTACCGCCGCGGCGCTCCGCTCTCCTGGTGAGCAGGCAAGGCACTCCGTTCAGTACACTCCAAACCTTGGGTGTCTAGAAACTAGACGCCTTAGGCGTATGCCACAGAAAAGCGAGCGCCTTAAGGCGCCTCGAAACTAGACGCCAAAGGCGTATACCGTGAAATGGGGTAATTTCGGACACTCGGTGTAATTTCGGACAACTCTGCCCGGAAGCATTGCGTTGATGCTCCCATCTAACGGCCAACTTGGAGGCTTGTCCCGTTGCGCGCATCGCATCGGCCACACTTAAAACCATCTGATCAATCACCCGGAGGTCAAATCTGGGGCAAACTTCAGGAGAAAGAGTGGTTTTTGTATTTAACCATTTTTACCTAAATTCGCTGTATGCGTAAAAACTTTGACTGGCAAGCCGAAACTGTTCATGGCCGGTTCATGAGGGGATTGTTTGTCGATTCAATCATGTTAAGAGCTTACTGTGTCAAATTTTCAATCACCTGGGTCAAATAGTATGGTTTATATAGGCTCAAAACTGAAAAAATGTTACTTTACGGGGTAATTTCGGACATACAAACGTCACGTCAGGGAGAGTTGGTATGCCCTGAACACTTCCAATTTCGCAGGGTTTGAATGGTGGAAGCTGAAGGGCTCTTCTAAAAGTTGAAGATAATCCAATAACAACGACATTCCCCAATAGTTACAGCGGTTGCTTTGTAAACTTCGAATTTCATAAAAATGGGGCAAAGCTACATCTTTAATATTTAGTTTTATGTGTATATCCTACGTTAGTGTCAACGACTGTTTTGTGATTGATTTTCTTTCATGTGACATGAAAGTTGGACTTTGCGAATGGCTGCATAGCTCGCCGGTTTACTATGCAACGCTTTCCACTGAGCCCCTGTATCTTCCTAACCGTACACACGACACGACTACATGCCCTTCATATGCATGTATGTGATCGTATGTAATCTTGTAGAGGAAGATTAAAGATTCACTTTCGCGTAATAAAGTATGTCCCGAGTTGCCTAAGAAAGCTAATCGGTCAAAGATTAAACAATAGAAGCGTTCTAAATGGCTCTTCTAGTTCCACCCACTATTCCTGAAATCGAACTACATATGAGTGCAAAAACATGCCTTCAAATTATGTATGAATGACCACCCCTACCTTACCTTTACATCTAAACCCTTACGAATTTCTCACATAATCATATTAGCACTTTAGAAAGAGACAGTGATCGGTTTTGGGACCAAAATCAGAACGAAAAGTCGTTTTTTTCAGGGGTGTCCGAAATTACCCCAAAACACGGGGTAATTTCGGACACTGCTTCGGACCCTCCACTGTAAAAACGGTGAGGTGCAAATATTTGAAATTAGCGCCAAATCGAAGCTAAAGGTGCGTAGATGATAAATTTTAACCCTCAAGTCCATGACAGCACCACGACTTTCACAATTTCAAAAAAACCTATCAAAAGTGTCCGAAGTTACACCGTTTCACGGTACCCCATTGCGCACCTTGTGCAGATAGAAGTCAGCATGTGAACACCCTTGGTCGAAGGAAAGGTGCGTGCATTGTACACACCCTGGATCATAGGCACTGAGCTCAACAGGACTCAAGGTACGTAGAGTGTAAACACCACCCTTGGCCTACGCACCTTGAGTTCTGTTGAGTTCAGTGCCTATGATCCAGGGTGTGTACTATGAGTTGCAAAAGAATCGGACCCGGCCGGCCGGGCTCGGCGATACCCCGCGCCCAGGCTGGTGCTGAAGACGCGCGGACAGGTAGGAAGACGGTCGGTCGCTGGGCCGCCTTGTTGCCAAACTATAACTGCGAGTGCACAATAGCTTTATGAGTGAATGACACCTCGACCCGACCCCTGGTCTGGGCGCCGCAGAGCAGCCGAGCAGCTCTGCTCACCCGGCCGGGCGGGTGCGATTTTCACAAGTTCATTTTCGTGTAAAAATTACTAATTTTGACAACGCTACCAGAATGCATCTCGAGATGAGCTGATTATTTCATTATAAAGTGTTCAATGAACTTTTTCTTACTTCATGAAAATAATCCTAGAAAATTTATTTTTATATGCATAGATCGGAAATTGAGTTTCCAACACATTGGTCAACATTTCAAACATGTCAAGCAACGCCCTGGAAAGTTTGCATTCTAGAATCAGCTGAGTCACCACCTGGCTATTGTTTCGAGGGCCTCTTTCACTCCGAGCTGCACCGCTGCGAGGGTGCTGACACGCAGATTTATTGCCCCTCGACCCAAAACAAAATTTTTCGAACAACCCAATTTTTGGTTTTGAATTGAGTGGAAATGGGTTCCTTGCAAAGTTGCGGGTCCAGTCATATGTTGAAATTTTGTTCTACGCCAATTTTAACCGAAATTTTAGGCCAAATCCGGTTGCCTCCAGCCCGCTCCGGGTTCCGGGCCCCGGCGGCCCAGGCCAGGCCTTTTGCACTCTGGTGCACGCTGGCCCCCTCCCCTCCCTCTCTCGGCACGTGCAGTTTATAGTTTGACAACAGCGCAGCCCTGCGTCGGTCCATCTGCCGAGAAGCCCGTCCGTCTTCGGCAGTCGTCTGGGCGCGGGGTAGCGCCGGGCCCGGCCGGCCGGGCTCGATTCTTTTGCAACTCATAGTACAATGCACGCACCTTTCCTTCGACCAAGAGTGTTCACATGCTGACTTCTATCTGCACAAGGGGCTCAATGGAGCATACGCCTTTGGCGTCTAGTTTCAAGGCGGCTTAAGGCGCTCGCTTTTCTGTGGCATACGGTACGCCTAAGGCGTCTAGTTTCTAGACACCCAAGGTTTGGAGTGTACACGAGCGCGGGTTGCTTACCGCTTACCCCAATTGAGAGCAAGGAGCCTGACCAAAATCGATCGTGCGAGCGCTGTAGGTTGCCTACTCCGGAAGGCGGCCACCGTAGCGCGTTCGTCCGTTTGTAACTTCGCGCCGAACTTCGCACGCTTCGATTTCTCATACTATTGCTGAAACTGGCTCTGAAAACGAAACACGAAAGGCGCGAAACGCGAAGCGAGCGAGATCCAAAGCCAAACCACAACATTGACGTTTTATTGAGTTTTTCTGGCAAAGAGTGCTATTTGAAGGTGCTTTGGGATAGCAAGAAGGTTTAAAATGCCTCAAGAACAACACGTTGTGAGATGCTATGCGTGTAAGAAGTTCCAAGTAAGTTGTTTGTACACCTTCTATAACCTATGACAAAGCAGTGCAAAGTGGTTTGTATCCTTAATCCTTGAATTTTGGTTTCTTAGGTTCAGATTGTGAAAAAAGTGCCTAAGTGGCAATGTAAAGTGTGCAGTGAAAAACAATCTCTTATGAAGGTATGTGTAAATTTCTAATGTTACATCACTGACATTGTCTGATGCCCTGTGCTTATTTGTTGACATAATTTTCTCTTTTTAGGTCTATGCCCAAGGGAGTGGGAAAGATTGTCGCCTCCACGTTCAAAACCTTAACATGCAGCAAGGTTTACTGATGTCACAAGAAACACCAAACTACGAAAGCCCTGACTCCCACTACGAGGACGAACCTTTCTTTGATACTGGTACTTTATTTTGTCTGTTTTCTTTTTTGTAATTGTTTAATCATTGGCTATACATTCTTTGGTTGAAAACTATTTTAACTTACAGATAGTCAAGTTGTCCTCAATAAAGTGAGTAAGTGGAGTGATTATTTAGATGACAATGGCCCCACTCAGGCTGGTGCAAAGTCGTGGAAAGAAGATGACACTTCAGACGACCTTCCTGGTAACATGTTGAGAGGAAGGAAACGAAGGTTGAGTAATCCAGACAATTATGAAGGTAACAATTATTCCTTATTTGATCATCACTCTTACATGTGCCTTTTTCCTGAAAAAGGAGTCTACAGAATTACCGATTTCTCTTACAGATTATTCGTATTCCACATATGACCAAAGCTGTCAACCAGATGCAGAAGCTTTAGACCTCTCAAGTGGTGTGTGTGCTTCAGACATTTTAAGAAACCTCCATGTGAATCAGGAAGTTACAAAACACCCTATGTTACCACACCCATCAACCAGTGGATTTAATAACTCCAAATGGTCACAATTTGTCTCACCGAGAGATAATGACCCCCCTCTCTCTGGCAGTAATGGGAACCAAAGAACCCTGAAAAATGTCTTTAAAGATAAATGTACTGTTTCAGCTGCCACTAATAAAGCAAGTATCCCTTTTGCAACCAGTGGCTCTCAAATTGTATCTAAAAGCATTGCCAAGCAGTCAGTGATGGATAGACCGAGTGCATGTACCTCTTCCGGCAATGGTTTTTCCTGGAACGGTGGAGGGAAGTCAGCCACTTCTACCATTGTGAAAAATCCATTTAATGCCACAGATGATGAAAATTTAGATACCTTATTGGACTTTTAAGTTTCTTTTCTTTTTTTGACTTTGTTTAACTAAAAAGATTGTTTTGTAAATTTAATTTTTTAACTCTTGATAGTATTATATAACAATGTTACAGTAAAGATATGCTCAATCGAGTTAACATGTGAGAATAAATGTTTCTGATGAAAGCAAATCACTACTTGTCTTTGCGTGTCCTGGTCCCAAAACCCGCAAGGTTTGAAAAACGCGGGTTCCGCAGGTGATCACAAACTTCCGCTGCACTCGTAGTGACCTCTGGCGGCGGAGTCCCGAACTCCAGATGGAAGAACGAGAACGTTTTCAGCCCTACTTACTGATGGCGCTGTCTGACTGGCAGAGTTGACAGACATCGGCTTCATCATGACACTCACAAATTTCGAGGTAAAGTTTGTTTCTATTCTCCAAGAACTTATTCGGAGCGATGATCATTCTTCTGCAATATTTTCTTTCTCGGCCGCCGTGACTGACTGTCAAGCTCTGGTATTTGTACTCGCAATGTAATGTTAAAGGAAAGCCGAGTGAGGCCTAACCTAATGCCCTATAACGTACTTCTGGTGTTGTTATTAGTTACATTCATTTCTGGAAAATTCTGTTTTATCATGGTTAAACCTTGAATTGTTTCTACGTTGCCGAATGTGTCCCCATCCCAAACTGTTTTGGATCGGTAGAAAGTCTTTGTCTATAGTCTGTGTTCTATTTGTGAATGGATCTCCTTTCATTCTGCTTATGCTTCCAAACAATTGTCTGTTGTTCAGATGCTAAATCCGTTTCTTTTATTTTTAGATGGAGGTAGATGATAGGCCCTCTCGGGGAGAGGGCTTTCGTCCTTACTACATAACCAAAATCGAAGAGCTGCAGCTGATTGTTGCTGATAAAAGTCAGAACCTTCGTCGTCTTCAGGCTCAACGTAATGAGCTCAATGCCAAAGGTAAATTCAGTTCATTCATGAATCTTGCTATGGTGTGCTTCGCTTTTGTACAATACAACTAATTGTGTGCCTCTTTTGACAGTGCGAATGCTCCGAGAGGAGCTCCAGCTCCTTCAAGAACAGGGTTCTTATGTGGGAGAAGTTGTTAAACCTATGGACAAGAAGAAAGTGCTTGTAAAAGTTCATCCAGAAGGGAAATTTGTTGTAGACTTGGACAAGAACATAGACATCAATGATGTGACTCCAAATTCAAGAGTTGCTCTACGCAATGAAAGCTATACCCTGCATAAAATACTCCCAAACAAAGTATGCACCTGCCTTTCTACCATCTATGGACTGTTTTGTAGTCCAATATTAATTGTTTCTCCTTGGAATTTCAGGTTGACCCCCTAGTTTCCCTTATGATGGTTGAGAAAGTCCCTGACTCAACCTATGAAATGGTTGGTGGCCTGGATAAACAGATTAAGGAAATCAAAGAAGTAATTGAACTTCCTGTGAAACATCCTGAATTATTTGATGCTCTTGGTATTGCCCAGCCCAAGGGTGTTCTTTTGTATGGCCCTCCAGGCACAGGTACTTATGATTTATTGAGCACTGAAGGTGTAAGTAAAATTTCCTGTGGGATGATATTTTTTACTGTAGTTGTATTCCTTTGTCCATATTTTAGGTAAAACACTTCTTGCTCGTGCAGTTGCCCATCATACAGAATGCACCTTCATCCGTGTATCAGGCTCTGAACTCGTTCAAAAGTTCATTGGAGAAGGCTCAAGGATGGTGAGAGAACTTTTCGTCATGGCAAGGTACGAAGATATCATGCAGCTTCATTAATACAAGTGAAACTTCCAGATAGTTCCTGTATATTAATATGAGTTTTTTAACAGGGAACATGCACCTTCAATTATTTTCATGGATGAAATCGATTCTATTGGATCATCTCGAATTGAATCTGGCAGTGGTGGCGATTCTGAAGTTCAACGTACTATGCTTGAGCTTTTGAACCAGTTGGATGGATTTGAAGCTACCAAAAATATCAAGGTGCCTGAATTTTCATGTTCTCAAGATTAATGTACAAATTGATTGTGTAACTTTTGCTAAGGTGCTTGGATTTTTTGTTTAGGTGATCATGGCCACAAATCGTATTGATATTCTTGATCAAGCCCTGCTGCGACCTGGCCGTATTGACCGTAAGATTGAGTTCCCCCCACCAAATGAAGAAGCCCGTCTTGACATTCTGCGTATTCACTCAAGGAAAATGAACCTCACAAGAGGTATAAATCTACGCAAGATAGCAGAACTTATGCCTGGGGCGTCTGGAGCTGAAGTGAAGGTATATTCTGGGAATATGTCAGGAACTTCAGTGTGCGAGATTAAACGTTCACACCATTAACAAAAATTCTTATGTTAAAATTTCAGGGTGTGTGCACAGAAGCTGGTATGTATGCTTTGAGAGAAAGACGTGTCCATGTAACCCAGGAGGACTTTGAAATGGCTGTTGCAAAGGTCATGCAGAAAGATTCTGAGAAGAACATGTCGATCAAGAAGCTCTGGAAGTAGAAATAAGTGGAAAGGTAAAACAACTTCTGAATCCCTCTTAACTGGTAAATCTATTATGATTTAAAGTGTCTGTGTCTTTTTACTCTATCCTTGCTGATCGTAGTTTATTCCTCTTACAGTTCTGATGTTGGTTGAGCCGAACATGTGCATAAAAAATCTCTACACCTTGTGCAAGTTTTTAATTATTGTAGATTAACTATCACACCTGTATAAATTACTTCATTTACCTAACTTTGTTTTCCTTGCACTATGTGCATGGTCAGTTTGCAATTTCTTAATTAAAATTGTGAAGAATAAAAATTTGTCCTTGTGTTCAGTCCCCTTCAATAACCAATAACATACCAGTTCTCCCTCAGAGCAGAGGCGCTCAGTCGGCAAGAGCGTCGCCCACCCAAGAGAGCACTTGGAATGGAAACCCAGGTTCAGGAACATTTTCCTCAGTTGATTGCTTGAATGCGGCACCATCACTCTAAGTTTGGACAGACATAACTAGTTTGGTGGCTCAGTGGGCTGACGTGTTGGTCGTGATCTGAAGTGCTTGAGTTTAAACCCCGCCGGGGTATGGCTTTCCTCCTAGTGGGCCGCAGCGCTGCTTTGGCAGCAGCGAGCAGCGTGTCAAATGGGTGGCCTACCTTGACGGCGCGGCACTTCCAGGCAATCCTGGCTGTAATAATAGCCACGAAGCAAACACTCGCTGTCCCTGTCCCTCTAAATGGTACCTGGGCTCACTATCTCCCAAGCGTGTCAGATGGGTGGCCTACCTCTGGGATGCAAAAGAGTTCCCGCCGTCGGCTCCCACCCCCCCTACCCCCCCTCCCAGAAGGAGAGGGGAGTAGGGGCAATCATAAAGGGTTAGTAACCTGACCTGGCTGGTAGCGAACCAGGTCCAACGGGAATCGTATGCTGTCGCATGGCCTCCAACCAGCCTCCACGGCCCATCGCTCTGCCACCTGAGCTACGACAACACACCTGTCTGACACGTCCTATCTTAGAGTGATGGTACCGGGTTGGAGAAGTAAACTGTGGAAAAGATTCACTCACTTAGGAGTCGAACCCGGGACTTCCCCCCGCCGGCCGACACCTCTACCATCTCAGCCAACCAGCCACTTAAAGATGATGCGATCAATCTCAGAGTGATGATACCGACTTTAAGATATATCAACAGTCTGGCTGAGGACTATGTTGTTATACTTGGGATTCGTACCCCAGTCTCTCAGCGCTTTGATACCCATTGTGGGATGTGCTCACTGACACTTCGAGGCATTAGAGACTGTTGATTTCAGAAAAATCGGACCGATTTTAATGTGAGAAAAATTTAAACTTCCAACACTTGATGGGAACAATTTTAGACACTGGAATAAGAGATCCATTTCCGTCCCCATTTCTGTTTAATGTGATGGCAAAGTATGCATGGAAAAGATATTCTGTTCTGCAGTTTGTTATAGATTTTATTTGAGATATTCTGAAACATTATAAATGTTACCTAGTACAACATTGGTATCCCACATTATGTGTTCATGCATAAAATGGGACAGAAGTAAAACACACACACATGAATGGACACATAATTAGGTGCTATGGCTTCTAAAACAAATGTGAGGCTCTTATAATTCTACAAGCTCTCTAAAATTTGAGAACAAATGAAAGTTGTATGACAGGAACACGATTTTAAATTGAGTTCCTCTTCATGATAAAAATGTTTCAGATTCCAACAAAAATCTTGTCAAAATTTACAATTTCTGACTAACTTAATAGCAAGAAGTCAGGTGAATTATCCCTTATCACAAATCTACAATAATTAGGGAAACATCAAATTGATTAATGGACAGGTACCCATTTAGTATCTGTAAACGGATTCCAAGGTATTTGTACAGAACTCAAAGTCTGTGCTTCTATTAGTTCTTTGACCATCAGTCTAAAACATATGCTCTGTGAATGCTTAGTTTAAAATTCTCGGCGATGATATTTATCAGGGTCAAAGTAAGATGTGACAACAACTCTGTTGTTGAATTTACGCCCTGTGAGACTTTGCTGTGCTTTCTGACAATCCACAATCGAATTAAACTCAACAAAAACCTGCAATGAAAGAGATAAAATTTATGTAAGTAAGTTCAGAGCTCCATGATTTGAAAAAAAAAAAAAAAGAAAAAATAATTCATGAAAAAAAAAACAACACTTACTTTTCCACAGCCTGGGACATCGACTCCTTCAATAGGCCTGGGGATTTCCAGTGAACGAACGACACCATACTTGCCACACTCTTCTCTGATATCATCAAGGATGTCTTCATATTCTTCCTCATCACGTAGTTCATCAGGTGTCACCATATTCAGCAGACAAAGAACCTGAAAAGTTAAATCTCTTACAGCTCTGTTCAAAAAATTAAAATCATACAAGTTTGTTGAGGAAAACAAACCTCTGTGGCAGGTCCAGCAGCGCCCACCATAGTGAGACCAGGTACTTGGATTTGCACTGGAGCTTGCTGGCCAATTTGAGCATTCTTGGCACCAACACTCGCCCGTTGTACAATCAGTTTCTTGTCTCCCAATTGCATTCCATGAAGACCAGCAATAGCCTGTCACATTAGAACAAAGATCAGATAGGTACAAATTAAACTGCAAGTCCAACTTTTAGAAATAGAAGATTACCTGGTCAGTCATGGAGACATCAAAATATTCACAGAAGGCGTAACCCTTGCTGAGTCCAGTTGCAGAGTCCTTCACCAAATTGAATGCACGAAGTTGACCGAAGGACATCAAAAGCTCCTTGACCTAAAATTCAAATGAGAGAAGTTAGGAATCCTCTTTGTAACAAATAATGAAAGACAAGATGCATTTCTACAAATTAGATGGTAAAATATCCCACTTAAAAATGAAACTTGATACTTAGAACTATTGATTATTCAATAGACAAGCTCGAGACCCCAAATATGGTAATAATTGGTGATCTGGTTCTTGGGACATTAAGTAGCCTAACTATACCTCAAATCAGTGATTCAGAGCCAAAAATGCAGAACTCAAAATCAATGTCAAAACAATGTGAATGCTCAACCAGAAACTTGAAAGGCAAGAGAAGGGACTGCTTTGGTGCTAAGGACCCCAAAAACCTTGCATGTTACTCCTCGAAGCGTGTGGTGAAATTGCATCAACTAGCACCTACCTGCCCCACGCTGGCCCTCAGTTGTTTCTGGTAGTTAAATACATAGCACTGTTTATGATTCGCCTTACCCAATTTGTACACTTACAGAAAGTATACATAATTTGCATTTAAAATCCCAAGCAAACACACACAAAGATAAAATAATCTGAACTAGTTCAATATCTACAAACACAGAGGTTTTGTTTCAACTAAGGTAGGCAATAATAACAAATATTTGCTGAGATTATTGATTTTTCAAAGAGGGGAATAAACATTCAAAAGACATAGTTGCATTTTACCACTCATGAAAACACATTTTAAAAATTTATCCTCCCAGAAAAAGGAATCCAAAACAAAGTCTCTTACTGAACCCATTACGTACCAATCTGATGTGACAATGTCCACAATATGGGCTGCAAAATTGTTATAATTTTAAGAACACAAATTGCAACTTGCCTTTTATTTGGCCGGACACAGCCGACCCACACATACATTTGATGACCAGCCTTAGAAAGCATAGGCAGGAGTTGTTCAATCTGTCTTTTGACGTTTCTTACCCACGATACCTTAGCTAAGACAGAACGGGGGAAGAAAGCAGAGGTACGGATAAGTTTTGGTTCTTTGCGTCTTCAAACTGTCCTTACACATACTGTTATCTACTGGCAATAGCTAATGTGTACAAGATCTGCACAAGCAAGTGATTCTTAAATTCTCAAATAATTTTCAAAGTCACTGCCTCAGCAAGTATCTTAAAATGCCACTCTATAAAAATTATTATGTCAACATAATGTCTTTGTTCTGACTACCACTGAGATATGAACAGATTTTACTTTAAATATGATTAAATCTTTTAAAGGCAAGCTTCTGCAGTAAGTGAGTTTAAAAACATGACTATACTTTATAAAGTCTTCTTTAGTCTACTTTATGTCCTTATACACGTCATTTTCTTTCAAAGATACTAAGATGAAATTGAAGTGCTAGACCTTGTACACACAAAGCAAACACTTGCTTGCTGAAAAAGAACACAATATTCATTGCGCACTCTCCACGGATGAACCTAAACCAAAACTTCCTGCAGCAAAATGCAAAACGCCCTGCAGAAAAAGAGGCAAGTGCTATTGAAATGCACAACTGAAGTGCTCGAACCTGGAGTAAAGAATGACATCTGCTCTAAGGTAGCTGAGCTGAATAGAATTTAACTTTATGAAATGACAGTTTTCAAACTTAGCAGTCTGATATTGCGCACCATTTTTTAAAGACATTATGGAGACTTTGAAACGCAGGAACCTTATGCAAACTTCCCCACGTGTATGATAGATAAGAAACCATATACATGATGTGTGATGCAGATAACCATTTAACTACCAAGGGTAACTGAAGTATATAGAGAGCTAGAGCAGCAGGGCGAGTCGCAAGTGATGCATGCATAGAAGGGAAATCCTGAGCTGATAACGCTTGCCTTTTTTCCCCTTGTTTTTCATGGGACAATGACAGAAAAATCAATTTTAAAAAATACTGCTGCTTTAGCCTGATTGCTAGGAAAAAATCCTGATAAAAAAAAAAAAGAAGAGCCGCGTGTTTTTGGAGGTTGAAGCTGCACCAAAGAACGTCAAAACTATAGCCTTGTACCTGTACACAACGAAATGCACATCCTAGGTGCTTCCAACAAATCAACTGTGCCTTTTGATTGCCTGGTCTGGAGCCAGGAATAGCACCTCCCACTTACCTGGTCTTCATTAAGGTAGTTGGGTAGGCCACCAATGAAAATCTTATGAGGTGAATCTGGGACAACTGTACTGATAACCCCAGCTGCAAACAGAGAATCATAAGCTTTCACAATCAAATGAAAATCAAGTCCATAAAAAAATAAAACAAAAGTGCTCAATATGAAGTAAGAACAGACCTGGAACAGTAACTGAAGGATTTTCTGACATCCCAGGCATAGGCTGGTAATCATGAGGTCTGCGGATCTTCAAACTCTGCCCCTTGAAGTTGATTCCATCAAAGGCCATGGCTTGAGTTGTTTCATCAATGGACCGGAACTGCAAAAGCATACAGATATAACAAAATACTTCCCTTTAAAACACAAATGAAAATTAAAATTTCAACAGTAAGAAACATTCACCTCTAGGAAGGCAAAATTTTTGTCCAAATTAATTTGACATGCTAGGACAGGATTGCCTGCTGCCTGGGCCAAACCAGACAAATGCATTTGCTGGTTGAAAAACTCCATCATCTCTTCCTAGAATTAAAGAGAAATCAACATTCAGTCAACATGAGTTAGGGGCTTTAAAGCGTTCTGTTAACAAAAAGAGAAGTATTATGACAGATCAATGCTTACCTCTGTGACACCAAATGGTATGTTACCAACATACAAGCGACGAGCTTGCCTGGTAATGGTAGATCCAACAACAGGAACTGCTGCTTGCGGTGTTTCAGTGACCAGATTAGCAGGAATCTGTCCGGCAGCTGAAATGGAATTCATCATTTATAAACTTAGCTAAGAACAATACATTTAAACTTAATTACCTAAATTCACCAAAATTACCTTGCATGGCCTTATACTGCATAGGTGTGATATGCTCAAAGCCTGGAGGCGGGACATCCCAGTACATGGACGGCTTTCGTCTTCTTGATCGTTTATCCTTCTTCGGTGACCTGATCAACCAGAATATAAAGACACATGAGATTAAAGCGCCAAGCCGATCATCTTTAAGATAAAATAGGCATCAGGAAAACTTACCCTACTGGTGAGCGGCTTCTTTTCCTTCTCTCTCGACTGCGATCTCGGCTGCGTGATCGTTTCTTGTGGTCCCGAGAACGAGATCGGCGACGCCTCTCCTTGTCCCTGTCCCTTTCCTTATCGCGATCACGGTCTGGAATCAAATTGACCATGGGCACGTTAAGTAAGAAAAGCATAGTACCATGACACCGAATGGGGTGGGTCGTACACTTGGATCAAAACCAGTTCACAAAGTTCAGGTGTGAAAAATTTGGGATGAGACAAATTAAGAGGATTGGTACAAATAGGAGCGTTTCTCCAGAAATAAAATTCCGACCATCCTAGTACAAACCGGACTGTCAAGTCTCGGGATACAACAACGCGGACTAACCAGAAAAGGGTCAGTCAAAGAATCGGGCCTAAGTATTACATTGTGAAAGGGGACGGAAAAGTGCACAAAAACTCTAAACTACGGATAAAAGTACAAAAATTGAAAAATGCAAGAGCTCATGAAATAAATCATAAGAAAAACAGCTCCACCGGAGCCTGAGCCGGTCTGAGTTGCTCATAACTTACCCTTGCTATCCTCCCCCATACTGGAATATAAATTAAATTACGAAAGGAGCTTGGAGGGCCAGTTGCAGCAAAGTGAGTAGCACAGTATTGCTCCGAATAAGGAACACTTCAGTTGAAAGTTGTGATGATGCTAAATGACCGACGCAAAAATGGCGACTGCATGCACACCATCCATGGAGAATAAACGGAAACGTGGGAAACGTGAGCACCTCTCGCTTCCCAACCGGAAGTGAGGGAAAGAGAAGCGGAGCAGACGCCATTGGCTGACGCTTCCCACCCTCGGTGTCTCTTCCCTGAACAGTGGCGTATGTTGTTGTGGCTGCGGCTGCTAACTGTTGTTGTTTGATGTGAAAGTGTGCAATGTTTTTATCTTGGACACGGACTTTGGAGATTTGAAGAAAGGGCTCGGTGTCGTTTGAATTGAAGAGACTAGTACCACTGTGTTTAGCATCTCTAATGCAACTCCAGTGACCACATTTTCTCAAGCTCCCCCGCAAGAGTGGTCGTCTCAACCTCAAAATGGCGTCGGCTGAGCAACTGGGCCTAAACAAAACCTGGGAATTATCGTTGTACGAGCTCCATCGAACTCCACAAGAAGCTATCACAGACAACACGGAAATCGCTGTGTCCCCAAGGAGCCTGCACAGTGAACTTATGTGTCCTATTTGCTTGGACATGTTGAAAAAGACCATGACTACCAAGGAATGTTTGCACAGGTTCTGCTCTGATTGTATCGTCACTGCTTTGCGTTCTGGCAACAAGGAGTGTCCCACATGCCGTAAAAAACTAGTGTCAAAGAGATCACTCAGGCCAGACCCCAATTTTGATCTGTTAATATCAAAGCTGTACCCTTGTCGGGATGAGTATGAAGCCCATCAAGAAAGAGTGCTGGAGAAGCTGCAGAAGAGTTCGAGTCAAGCTGCATTTCTTAATTCAATCACTGAAGGTATCAAATTGCAGTCTCAACATCGACAGCAGAGAACTAACAAGAAGTTGGTCAGTGAAAATGAGACGCCAGTCAATACCCCTAATCCAAGTGCTCCATCTACTCCTGTACCAAACCAGAACACCGACTCACAACCTCCGTTCCAGCCTCCATCACAATCTCAACCCCAATCCCAAACCCCATCCCAGCCCCAATCTCAACCGCAACAACAGCCTCAACCTCCCACTCAAATTCAACCTCAGACTTCTGGTCAAGCCCCCAGTCCTCACCCTCCCTCTCCCACTCCTGGAAGTTCACAATCATCATCCTCTGGACAAATGAAACCAGTGAAACGTGCGAAGATTGCTATAAGCTCTGAAAATGAGTCAGCAAGTTCAAGCATGGAAGCATCTGGAGGACAGGACACTGCTACGGAAGGTGAAGGAACTGAAACCTTTGATGAAGTTGAACTTGTTTTCAAACCGCATCCTGTGGAAATGTCGGACAGTCCAATCATGAAACTTCTGAAAGAGGAGGACACTGTCAGATTCTTGAAAACCACTGCAAACGCCACAGGTAAGTTTTTACAAATGTTCCTGCCAATGTTTGATCTTTGTTTTGATTTTTACTTCCTCTTTTACTGGGAAATTCTTCATGCTAATATTTTTGTTTCTTTTGTTCCAGTTGACCATTTAATCAAGTATCTGGCTGTACGTCTAGCATTGGAGCCCGAACCTGGAGCACCTGACCAGCTTACTTTCTGTATTTATGTGTCTCCAAATCCTGGATCTATGGGGACGTATACTATGCTAAATGGTTCAAACACACTTTATCAAATAATAGAAAAACACTGGAAAGTTAATAAACCCATTGAAATGTTCTACACATGGAAAGGGAATAATCCTCCTGGAGCTTCTACAGAATAATGCAGAATGCTAATTTGTTTTAGAAATTTGATTCAACATGATTGTTTCACTGTCAAAAAGCCAGTACATGATTGTTACAATGTCAAAAAGCCAGTACGTTTTGGACATAAATGAACATGTCCCGAGATAAAGAAAGTTTAGAGGAAACAAGTAGTCAACAAATTTGTAGCACTTTTTATTGAAAAATTTATTATGAATGTGTTTTTTTTTTCTGTGCGATGTTTTTTGAAGCTTGTTTGTGTGGAACCTTGAACCTTGTGTACTTTGAATGATTCTCTCATTCAATTGAGGATTGTAATTTATTTATGTCCACCTAGAGCTTCGGATGGCCTGGTGTATTAGTTTAAGTAGTCTGTGTACTTTTGCAGCTATGTGATAAATGCTTTAAAATTTATTTTGTCATTGTTACAATTTGGTAGAAAATTGGATGGGCCAAATTTAATATAATTGACTCTATAAATGCCCTGAGCATTTGGCCTTTCATGAAAATGATGAATTTGAACACCATAGGTGTGTTTGAAATGGTGGATTAAAGGCTTTTCTCTTTTTGATATGTTTTTGACTTTTGCCTCTTTTTGAGGTGTTTCAATTTCTTAATTGTTTAAACCTAGAAAAGTTTGCTGATCTACCTGTTTTATCATGACTAAATATGCTCGGTTATGGTTATTAACATGTTATGTCACTGTACAATCGTGCTTTACTTTCTTTATTTAAATTAAATTGCTTATACTCTTTACTACTTTTGCTCAATTCTATATTTACCTCGATTAGCATTACAAAAGTGATGTCTCAATGACTCAACTAAGCCCATTCAAAGAATCCACACTGTTCAGCTTTAGAAAGAGGACAACTGTAAAATTCTTTGCCATTATTATCATTTTGTTTCAAGACTCGCCGTAGAACAGTTCTTCTTTCATGCTTGCACAATGGGTGGTGGAGATCTGCCCACTGAAATAAGGCGAAAGAAGATTATGGATAAATATGGAAATGCAACTTGTTTTAGAATGGATGACAGGGTACTCACCTGAAAAAACTTGCATTCTCTAATACCACAGTTATAGAAGAGACGTCCTTTGTTCTCTCCAGCTTTTCTGACTGTTTTGACAGAGGTCTTTCTTTTATGGGTTTGGCATAAGGGTGTTGGTAGTTTAGAGTCTGTGCCCACATCAAAATAATTATCAATCCTTGTTTAATTATTCAGTCCAACCACTGAGATTTGAATCATACTATACCTTCCAAAGAAGCAACTTGTGCGGGTAAATTTTTTTCTCCATCAGAATGCACTTTTTTAAATTCTGTTTCGGTTTTCATAATCTTAGTTGCAGCCCCGCCTGCGGAGGGGTCCTCTGACATCTTGCGCTTTCTAGCAAAATTGGCACAATTTATAAAATGAGATCAACGGTAAATTTAGTGGACATATACAGGACATTCAAATTTTGTCACCTGTCTTCTGGCTTTGGGGAAAGGCACATGTTGCATGACAGAGAGGGTGAGCTGTTAATGAATGTACAGTGGGGGCAAGCCCAATCTTGAGTTGGAATAGAGGAAGAGCCAGAAAGCTGCAAAAATCCTAGCAAGGAATTTTTTTTAGGAAGGGATACAACAGTGCTATGGTTTGAATTGACCTGACATACACGACAAAAAAAGGTCAGCCTCTTTAAATTCCCTGGCTTGCAAATAGTGACTTGATTATCACATTGAGAGCACTTTGATTTTTCATAAATACAAAGGTGATTTTTTAAAGGCTTGTTGTTTTTCCGACACTGTAAAATAAATTTAAAGGCTCCAGAGACACACATAAAACAGACATTTCATGAATAATGTGAAAATGTCAAAACATACCAAATAAAAGACATGTGAAAAGTCCCTTAGGCGATGAAGGAGGCATGTTATGAGTTTTGGTGAAAGATCACTCACACATACAGTGGGATTGATACCACTTTTAAACAGACCCTGAAAATATTTCACAAGAGGGTATGTTTGTCTTGAAATTGCAGTTTTATCACAAATGAATGCACCATCTAACTTTACCTCATTTTTAATAATATTGCCTACGCCTGGAAGAACTGTTTGGTCCATAATAACATCACATATTAGTTCAGATTGCTGCTGCTCAATTCTTTGTTGAGCGCGAGTGAAATTGAACAAAGGATAATTGATATCAAGATCAGCAAGAGAATCACAATGCTCTTTGCTCTCTTCTGCACATCTGAAAATGTTTAACTATCAACAAATGTGTCAGCAGGAAGCTGATAAATACACGAGCATCTCTGCCTACCTTATGTCAACAGAGCTTTTATACACAGTGAGCTTCTCATCCGGGAAGATAATAGTGAGAGTTGGTTCTGATGCCTGTAAGTTTTTGTCTCGATTGTTTCCATACCTTACAGATCCATCCATAAGGAAATGAATGCGAATACACAGTGATATTTGAGCAAAGAAAATAAATAATTCCTTTCCCAAAGTGCGAACTTCCGACACTTTATGCCCACAAAATTGTTGAAAGCGAGAAGAATTTTCTTTACAAACCTGTGCAAACGACCATGTTCCTAAGTACGTCAGAGTTAATCACATTAATGAGACTAAAATTCAAGTACCTTTTCCGGTTTTCCGGGATGAACATTGACTATTGTTTTTCCTTTGATTTTCTTGGTCATCACTTCTCCTTTTACTTTACAACCTGGACCCTCAACCATTCTTGATGGTAGCATAACCAATTCATGCAAAGATTAAAATCATAGTAACTTCGAATGATAAATCGTAATGAGGTCATATTGTGATTACCTGTATTATTTTTAGGGGGTTCAAAATTGTCACGACAGAAAATCGGGGGAAAATTGGATAAAGTTGCATTTGAGATTTGTTATCCTTTTGAACTGAAAAGTGCGCGAGCCGCTCTTTTAATCGTGTTTTGTTTTCTTCAGCTTGACAAATTTTCCATACCGAATAAATTCTAATCTGAATTATTTTTTGAAGTGTACCTATCTTTGTTATTGTTATTTTGAAGTTGAGTACACCTGTTGCTTTCCACAAAAACTCACACAACTTTATTAAAACTACGTAGTGTAATTTAAATCTCTTGCACGATTCTGATAGTACAATGAAAAATGGTACCCATCGCCTTGAAGGTTGGATATATTTGAATTGTTTTCTGTTAAGATTGGTTAGGATTCCAAATCTTGCCCAAATTTTCTTCTTAAGATGCTTTACACAGTGCTCATAATTGTTTTTTGTTATTTTCAGCATAATTTCTACTGCCTTACGACAGTTTCCATGAAGTAAGAACTATCAAACAATCGGTGGCATTTGCTCGAACATGAGAAATATGTTTGATTCATGATTTGTTTTGTCTTGCAGGATGTCCTCTCTGAAATTACATTTTAAGTAATCAACTGTTTGCAAAATGGATTTACATCTGGATTATAGTGATAAAAAGCACTTTTATTCTTTCATAACGGATGTACAACTTAAGAGTGATATTTTTCAAAGTTTCCCCATTATTTTGAGTGAAATTACTTTCACTAAAGGGCCAGCTAAATATTTCAGAGTTTTGTCAAAGCTACTTAAGGTTTTATAGATGTGTTCTTCTCAGAGCTAGCAAAACAATGGCAAGTTCTATGTCATTGGACTCTTGTGACTTTTCTGTCTTTACTGATTCATTTCCTTCAAACAATGTTCAAAACTGCTTTAAGGGATCTGATACTTTTGCCAACATCTCAACAGAACATTTATTAGAAAATGGAAACCTTAATATCCCAGAAATGTGCCCTAAATTATTTAATGAAGGAGTTATTAATAATGTTTCTAATGCTAAAAAAATATCTGAGCCTTCTCCTAAACATATTCCGAACCATGTGCTATCAAGTTCAGAAAACCAAGTTACGAACGACTATAACAGTCTTATCACAAGGAGTTTCATTGAGAGTTGTGAAGACGGTGGTAACGATAGTGATTGTAATGTAAATTTCAAGTTGCGAGAACTCACATCAGTTGAAAGCTGTACGAAACAAGAGCAATGGAGGGAAAGTTGTGGAGTGGTGGAAACCATCTCAGAGGAGACTGATGTGCTGGCCACTAAAATGTGTTCCAAAGCGGAAACAAACGATAAGAAAGTAAGTCTTGAGACTGATGCTTTTGTGCGTGATGCAACAATTTTAAAAAAAAAATAATTGCTAATATTTTGGTATTAAATTTTGTAGGTTGAGCGCAAATGGATTTGCGAGATCTGTGAGAAAGCTTTTCGCAATTCTCGGACTCTCCGAGAACATGGGGTAGTTCACACTGGGGCCCGAGATTTCCCATGCAGTGTATGTGGCAAAGCATTTGGCACAGCTGCAAATATGCGAATTCATTTGTTGACTCACTCTGATCAAAGACCATTTGAGTGTCAGACATGTGGTGCAACCTTTCGACAAAAAGATAGTCTGAAGGTAAGATTGCAGTTTTTAAGTTTTATATTTTCAAATGTATTTCTAGTTTTACATTAATTTTTATCCCTGAAAGGTTCATGTGCGAAAGCACACAGGAGAGCGACCGTTTATCTGCACAATATGCAACATGTCTTTTGACCGAAGCTTTACTTTAAAAAATCATATGCTAAAGCATGTTGAAAAGTCTTTTGTTTGTTCTGTTTGTGGAAAAGCATTTGCAACAAGGGCCGGGTTGAATAATCATGAGCGTTTGCATTTTAAAGATCCTGCTAAATCTAAAAAGGCAAGTATTCACAAAACCAAACATGATCTTTTTATTGGCATTCTCTTTTAAAGTTTCAATATTTCTTGTTATGTAATAATCTTGTTTTAAAAAAATTATTTTGTAGGAGCATTCCCCGCGTGCAAAATCGGGAACAGGGAATTGGATTTGCGATGAATGTGGAAAGATATATTCTTCTCGAAGCAATTTGAAGTTACATAAAAAGTCTCACGAACCTACCCAGATTTCCCATGTTTGTCCTGTCTGCTCTCAGTCTTACAAGAGCAGGGATAGCATGGAGGTGCATATGAGGAGACACACCGAAGAGCGACCTTTCAAATGCCCTATGTGCCCTAGGTCGTTTTATCGAAACTACACATTAAAAATTCATTTTTTGACTCACACAGGTGACAAAATTTCTTAGTTTTCTAAATATGCTTAGAACTGCATCTCCAAGTAAAAATTGGGAACATTAATAATTCATAATGAATGTGTTTACAGGTGAGAAGCCACATTGTTGTCCCATAGAGGGATGTAAGAAATCTTTTGCTCAGACCTCAAGTTTATCGTATCACATAAGGAATCACAAGAAGCGAGAGGAACGTGCACTGAACCAAAGCAACAGCAAGCGGCCTTACAGGAAAAAGAGTCAAGTACAGGAAAACTTTCCTGATGAATATATGGTTACATCTGATACCAACTTCAGAAGCAATCCAACAAAAACCTGCAAAACTTTTGAATCCCAGACTGAGGTTGTTCATGACTTGAAACTTGGTTTAGGTTCTTTGTTGCCAGAAAGTATTACTTCAGCTGCAATGATCAACGCATCTGACACCAGCAGTGTAACATCAATGCTAGATGATATTTCAAATAGTTTATCTCATCAGATTGGCCATACCCTTCCTTCTGTTTGGGACGATAGTGAAAGTATTGCAATATTAGATTTACAAAATGATGCGCAACACCCCAACCTTGAGGACCCTTCTATGGACCTAAACTGCCACCAAATGCCACTCATGCAGTATGTTCCTGTCCCACCAGAAACACTGCCTTTACTAGTTAGTGTACCAGACAGTGTTTTATACCATCATGAGAGTGCTCATAAACCAATGTCTGACAATTCCATCTTACTTCCACATTTACCTTAATTTTAAGGGTTGTCTTTTTAAGTTGTCAATTTATTTGCATTCCTATTCATAGGGCCATATTAGTTTTATGTGTATATTCAATGTATATAAATATATAGTGTTCTCCTTTTTTTGTTGGTAAGTATTAAGTAAGGCTATCCCACCAAGAACAACTTCAGTAAGCTGAAAATTATTACTAGGTTTGTAGTGCACTCTTCCCACAAATATGTTTATTCATGGCTGTGATAATTTTTTGTATTGGTTCCTGATTCTGTATCCATAGAATCCAAGGACAGTGAAAGACCTTCATGATTGAAGAAGCCCGGTTTAATTTATGCTAGTGATCAAGTTTTTCCAGGTTGGGGTACATTATCATTGTTATACACTGGTATTTAAGTACCTAATCCTCGCTCTAGCATAATGTTTTCACAGTCGTAGGCAATTCATTGTGACAGCGGGTCATTGTAGTTTTATAGCATAGATATGTCAAAGTGGAGCTCATGAGTCCTTACTGCGAAACTATAAGTTGAAAAGAGTAAGAGAGTTGGTGTCAGTTGATGATCATGTCAATAAATTGGCAACACGGGTGGACTTCATACTTTATATATTTAAACCTATATATACAAAACAACAAATAAATATTTTTGTAAAATTAAAAACGATTTGAGGATTAAAAGCAGAGGCATTATTTTTGCATTTACTTTCTGCGCAACTATTTGAATTATACCTGACATTTTCAGAGAGTATTGACTATTTTCTTATTGTTACAATGAAACCAACTTTTGTTGTAATTTAGATGTAATATGATTCCTATGATGTGATGAATCTTGGGTAGGATTTCAAAAATCTATTTCAAACATAAAAGGGGATGATGAGATTCCATTAAAGTTTGGGTTGTAAATTTGCTGAACAATAAATATATATTTATATTATTACCACTGCTTTGTTGATTCCAAATATCACACACATTCTTCCATTCACACTATCATTCATTCTCTACATTCAGAACAAAAAACAATAATGGCGCTCTTCTGCCAAATTTGAGCAAATCAATGGAAGTGATCAAGACAGGACTTCAAGCTGAAAGTAGCTGTCTCACCTTAATCTGACTATTTGGAGGGAAACACACGATTGCTTCCTTCATTAACATGCAAAGGCTTGTGCTATGAGCTACACAATATTTACAAAGAAAAGGTAATACTAAATCTGACAGCTTGTCCATTAGTATTTTTCATGGTGAACATACGTAGTCATCAATTTTATGAAACAAGTACATATTTTGATGTGTCCATCAGACACAACTAAAGGCTATTATTTAACAAAAACAATACATCTCCCACATCTAGTGGAGTAAATGTTCACAAAATATAACATACACATTGCAGTCGAGTCTCATCTTTCATTGGTTTAATTCACCAAAGAACATTGGTGAAAAGTTATAAGATCACTGTGGCATTAGAAAAACACTCATTGACACAGTCAGGAGAGTTCTACTCTTCTTTCATTCAACAAGTACAACTTTCCTAAGTGTGACATTGGTAATAATATCCCCCAAACCACAGATTTGTCTTCATGCCCCTAAAACTGGTTTTATTAAGCACTGAGATACATAGCTGTAGGACCCTTTGTTTCGATAAGGTGTTTCATTATTGCCTACTTGAAAACCGAAATTGGTATCACTCTTAACCAAAGTTTCACACATTTTACTTCATCATTGACTAATCAATAAGTTTGATAGAAGCAATTTAAAATAAAATAAATTTACATATTAGTATTGTATTGGACCGGAACAGTGAAAAAATTCATTGGTTCCACCTAGTATAAACATGTACAATTTACAAACCTACAAAGGATACAATCATGTTTAAAAGTCTTGTTATGGCAATAACGTTTCAAATCCACGACATATGTTTATTTTTTGGGACCACTCGAAGTGTGTGCGGACAGATCGTGTGCATCACACTAAAGAATTGGACAAAATAGCAACCCTTGGTCCTCAAAACCAATTACACATCCTTTGCTTCTATTCTCCGCTGCTTCCCGATTCATCATAAACAGTCACAAAAATGAGTCAATTTAGTAGGGGCCTTGAAGAAAGTGACCCGTGACTCACACATATCACCACATTTATCACGAAAGTGCTCACTCTTCTTTGTACCTTACCGGAACAAACCACAATTAGATAAAATAAAAGTCTTTAATCTTCTCAACGGTGGAAGTGTTGCCGACTGCTGTAAGTGCTCATGGGGATACAGCTTTGCTTCGTGCCGTACACGTCACCTTGCGTTTCATAGTCCACATCGTAATATATTCCACTCTGGTTCTGCGACAGAAAAACAACATGGTTAGGGGTTGGTTCACAGAAAATCATGGCATGTCCTGTGGGAACCCCCGAGGGTGGTCTAGTCTGTAATGGTAATGGAGGAGTAGGCAACCCGACGCGCAGCCGGACTTCCCTACCCCAAGTGCTCGGCGTCTGGGAGGGGGGTTGGCAACACACTGCACACTCACCGCGAGACTGCTCCTGCTCTTGGGCCTCGGCACTTGGAAGTTCCTGCCGAGCAGGTCGGTTCGGTCTTCCTCCTCGCTGCTGCTGGTGGCGGGCTCTCGCTCCCGTTCCCTGGCGCGCGCGCGCTCACGCTCGCGCTGCGTTTTGAGCGTGTGCGCCAGCGTGCTGTAGGCGCCGAGCGAGGGCGCGTGCACGGGGTGCTGCACCGTGCCGTAGGCGCTGAGCGAGCCCATGCCGCCCATGCCCAGGGTGCCGTTGGCCTGCAGCGACAGGCGCGGCAGCGGCACGGGCGGCGGGATGGGCAGGGTGCCGTGCTGCATGCCCTGCATGCTGGGCAGGCTGGGGTAGCCGAACAGCGCCGACGACGGCCTGGTCGCCACGCCACCGCCGCACGTTCCCACCGGCTCCGGCTGCTGGCAGTACAGAAGGGCCACTGGTAAAAACCTTCCGTAGGCGCGCCGACCGAGCGCTCTGGTCATTCCCTGCACTCACCGCGTAGTGGTTCGAGGACTGCTGCACCTGGGCCATGGCGTCCGCGATCTGCGCCCAGCGCAGCCGCTCCTCCAGGGTCACCTGGTACGGCGGCGCGCCCACGGCGGGCGTCTTGACGGCGCCGCCGCCACCGCCGCCCAGGTAGCCGAAGACGGGCGAGCCGTAGCCCAGCCCCGAGGCGGACTTCTGCTCGCGGCTCCAGCGCCGGCTCCACATGCAGAGGCACACCAGGGTGAGGACGATGATGACGACGGCGGCCACCGACGCGCCGACGGCCACGCCCAGCACCTCGCCGTCCACCTCGCACTGCGTCCCGTAGAAGTTGCCCGTGCAGCTGAAGAGCGAAGGACAGAGATTGTGTTACAAGGGCCTGGCGGTTCGAGGCGGGGCTGCAAGTATGCGCATTCGCTGAGGTACTCACTGGCAAACCTGGTTGCCGGCATCGAAGCGGCACTCGCCGCGGTGGTTGCAGTACTCGGCGGGGCAGGCCTCGCACTGCCTGCCGCTGCGCTGCGGGTTGCCGGCCCAGGGGTCGCGCAGGCCGTCGTTGCACGAGCAGCGGAAGGAGCCGAACACGTTGGCGCAGCGCGCGTGGGCGTGGCAGTCGTTGAGCTCGGGCTCGGCGCACTCGTCCAGGTCGCGGAGCGGCGCCACGGCGCCCGCGGGGGAGGCGACCCACAGCGCGCTGGAGCCCACGTTGTTGTGGCGGCGGTGCAGCACGCCCAGCAGGTGGCGCTGCACGTCCTGCGCCAGCGTGTTGGGCCGCGTGGCCGCCGCCGCCTCCTCCAACTGCACCGTCGCGTTCACGAACACGGCGGCGGACGAGTTGGCCGCCGTGGCCGCGGCCGCCCCCAGGCCCCCGGGCACCAGCACGTCCGTGGGCTCGTCGTCGGCCTGGTTGGGCGCCAGGAAGATGCGGTTGATGCGCGCGCCGAGGAACTCGTCAGAGAAGGGCGTCATGGACATGGCGGAGTCGATCTGAAAGGGACGGAGAAGGCTTCAGTACGGTGGGCGTCGAACCCGCGGCGGGCTGCGTCCAGGACGAGGTGCAGGAGGTACTCACGGCGAGGACGGCCTCGTACTCCAGCTGCTGGTATTCGTCGGACTGCGCGTCGTGGAACTTGTCGGTCCAGTCGAGCCGCCGGTCGTACATGCGGTCCACCCTCAGCGACATGAGCAGCGACACGATGCCTGCGGGCACGGGGAGGAGGAGGTCGGCGTCAGGCACAAGTCAGGGAACGTGGTTACGGGTGTGGGCGGTTTCGAGTCAAGTTCGGCCCCCAGCAGCGCCGTGCCAAGCGCGCGTCTTCTGACAAGGTGGCTGGAGGGAGCTCCAACCGCCCCACACAGTGGGTCAGAAGGCCGGTGGAGGCGGCCAAAATCACGGACGCGTTTTGAGCTCCAGAGTCGCTAAATGGGACTCGGACCGAACGTGTGACCCCACCAATGAATTCCTCGTTCGGAGAGCAATCCATTGGTAGGGTCATACGTTCGGTCCTAGTCCCATTTAGCGACTCTAGAGCTCAAAACGCGTCCGGAACTTTGGCCGCCTCCACCGGTCTTCTGGCCCACTGTGCGCCCTGCCGTTCGCCTTCTGCGCTGTCGCGCGCCGTGTGCAGTGTGCCATGCGCGCACTCGTTTCCGCGTCCCCTGCGTGTCACGCACGCTTGCGGGGGCCTCTCTTTCCTCTTTCTCTCTCTGCGATACTCACGCCTGCACGGCTCGCGGTGCTTCCTGCGGCTGTAGCCCGGGCGGCAGTGGCACGCCGACACGCCCACCTCCGTGCGGCACATCTCGTTCTGCGCCGCGTCGCACGTCGAGTCGTCGCCGACGATGCACGTGTCGATCCTGGAAGCAGAGTCAAAACGTCAACGTGGACAGGGCTATCTTGGCTGTCATACTGCGGGTTGCGTCCCTTTCTGTCTCTCCGTCCGACTGCCTATGGAGGGCACATAAAACATCCGCGGGTTTAGCACGCGCATTCAAGGGTCTGTGCTGCGCGCTGTGCTCACCTGACTGGCGGGTGGTTGGGCCTCTTGTACGGCCTCCTGGGCGGGATGGCGCCGGGGCCGGGCGCGGCTGGTCCTGGCGGTGGCGGCGCGGGCCCGGCGTGCGGGGCGTGCGGCGGTCTCGACTGGACGGGGGTCACCGTGCCGGCCGAGGCGGGGCCTGGGAAGCTGCAACAGGCAACAGAGACACAAGCCAGTGAGTACCGTCTCCGACTCCGTCTCGCGGCTCGCAGGCATTCAATTTAATCTCCTTTCTCTTTCCCACTCGTTGGCGTGGAAGAGACGTCGCCGGCGTCCCCAGCGAGCGAGCCCGTTCAGCCAGAACGGTCCGCGTCTAGTCAGGCGTGTTTTCCCCTTGCCTAATTGCTCGGGATACTCGACCTTGCCGAGCCAGCAGCGCCAGCCCAGCAGATGCCCCCGGGCCGCGGCAAGGGAGCGGTCACCGGAACGCTGACGCCCCCAGGGGCCCCAGGGCGCGCGGGGCTTTGCAGTGTACTCACCCCGTGCGGTGTGGCGGCGGCTGCACCGGCGCGGGTGCGACGCCCACGCTGCCCGCGCCGCCCATGGCGCCGGCCTGCTCCGTGTTGAACAGGTTGATGTAGGTGCGCTTGCCGTCGATGGACACGAAGTGCTGGCCGGCCTGGGCCGCGGTGATGACGGCCACGTCGCCGTGCCCGTTGCCCTCGCCGGCCACGGCGCCGCCGACCTGCACGCCCTCGATCTCCACGGGGTACACGATGGCCTGGCCGGTGGCGCCGCCCCCCGGGCCCTGCACCGCGCTCACCGTCACGTCGAACACCTCGCCGTAGTGCGGCTGCTGCGGCGGCGCCACGTGGGGCACGATGTGCGGCGCGAGGTGCGGCGCCTGGTGGCCGCCGTGCGCCGCGGACGTCATGAGCCCCGGCCCGGGCCTGCCCGGCTTGTACTCCGTGTCGTCCAGCACGAGTCCGGGCCGCGGCCGGTAGGGCCGGTAGCCGAAGCCTGTGGGAAACAGAACAAATTGCTGGTTAGCGAGAGTCGGGCTGTTTTCAGTGCAGTTTTCCAGTTAATAAATTAGGCAGGGAGCGAGAAGTTCAGTTAGTTCCGCCAAGGTGCGCGCCTTTGCGCCTGGCAAGTAGACTCGACGCTGTTTTGCCTGGCTGGTGGGCCTTTAGGTGACCCCACTACCGCCGCCGCACAGTGAGCCAGGAGACCGGTGGAGGCGGACAAAACTCGAGATGCGCTTTGAGCTCCCGAGTCGCTAAACAGAGCTCGAGCCGAACGTGTGGATCCGAATGGATTCCTCGTTCGAAGAGCAATCCATTGGTGGGGTCACACGTTCGGTTCGAGTCATGTTTAGCGACTCTGGAGCTCAAAACGCGTCTAGAGTTTTGTCCGCCTCCACCGGTGTTCTGGCCCACTGTGCGCCGCGACCCTCGCTCTGGTACTCGGCGGGCGTTGAAGTCTCCTGGGCGGCGCTTGCTTTCGCGGGGACGCGGCACTGCCTGGCAGTGCCGTGGAATCCACCTGTAGCGCGGCGCGCGGCCAGCCCGGCCATAATCGTGTTGGGATCGAGCGGTGCGCATCAAGCCAGCGAAGCCAGCGCTGCGTGGGTCTAGGGGAGCCCGGCCAGCGAGCCTGCCGCAGCCCGGGGGCTCAGCCCGCCCCGCCCCGCCCTGCCGCCGTGCCACTGCCGCCGGTTAGCATATTATCTCTGTTACATTACATTAGCGAGGCTGGCGGCCTGCGCGGCCAGGGCGCGGAGCGACGCGGAGCAGGGAGGCCGGGCTTGGCGGCGACCGGTTTGGCGCGGCCGATGGGTGGCGGAGACGCCCGTGCCCACGACGACGACCGGGGGGACCGGGCGGCTAGGGCACGCCGACGACTTGTTGCGTCCTCTTTAGCGCGACCAGCCGTGAAATGCGCATGTGCGTGGCCGGGGCGGGGCGGGGCGGGGCGGGGCGGGGTGCGGCCGTCATACAAGGTGCCAATTGCAGGGAGGGCCGCGGTCACCGAGGTGCCATTATGTACCTCCACAGAAAGACGGCTGGATACTTGAGCTCGACGGACTTCAAATTGGACACGAATCAAACACATGATGGTTATTGAGCTCTCCTCGTTCCCAGGGAAATCCATTGGCATGCGTGCCATTTCATAATGTTCGGTTCAGGTCCTTTTTGCCGAATCCTGCGTCCACCTGGTCTTCTGGCCCACTGCGCGCCTTGCTGCCCGCTTGCCTGCTTGGCGACTAGGGCGAGCCTCGCCGAAAGGAATGCCCCCGTGTCAGCCGACCGTGGCGACCATGGTGCACGTAACCACGTAACGCCGCGAGACGACACCGCACCGTTAGGAGCGCGCCCGGCAGCCTCGGCAGCCCAGCCCAAATGCAAGCGGCCCGCTCCTGCTGCTGGAGTCTGAGCCCGCGGCGGTCCAAGCCGCAACAACAACAGCAATAATAACAACAGCAACATCATCAACAACAGGACGCCGCGACGGGTCGCAGGATCATCACGAGAGTGAAGCCTACACTGGTAAAACAAAGGCATAAAAATTACGCCCTTTAGGGCATAAATGCTCTTTTACGCCCTTGCAAGGGCATAAATCGTTTTATGCCCTTGGGAAGGGCGTAAATGGTATGGGAATTTCAAGCAAAATTTTAATGCCCTTCCCAAAGGCATTAACGATTTATGCCCTTTAAGGGCGTAAATCGTTTACGCCCTTTAAGGGCATAATTTTTATGCCTTTGTTTCACCAGTGTATGCTTGGAAAAATCAAAATCCCCGCGGGCTTGAATCTGCTGCCGCCGGCGGCCGTTTGGTGTCCGTCGTCGTGGCGACTGGCGCACGTTTTGGCAGATGGCTGACGCGACGTGACCGCCGCCGCCACGCCCCGCCAGGAAAGCGGAGCGAGCGCAGCCTGAGCGCAGCAAGCTGCTTTTGATGGCGGCGGGGCACGGCGGGGCACGGCGCCGCCGGCCACGGGGTCGACTTGGCGCGCACGTCGACGCCCCCACCCCCAGGACCAGGACCACGTTGTTGTCCGCGCCAATTATGACACCCAGGCCAGCAGCAGCACACTCATTCGCTGTCTCTCTCGCGCCTAAAGGGAACGATCCACGAGTGCGAGAGAGACAGAACGATGAAAAAGACTCTCGCAATCAGCCTGCAGGATTCGAGCAGACAGCAGACAGTTATGTTTTCGAGTTCAAGGCCAGCGGCGTGGCGCGGCGCGGCAGGGAAGTCCGTCCCGATAACCGTTAGGTCCGTGTCTGACTAGTTGGCACGCCGCTCGACCAGTTTGGGCAATGAGTATGACACGCGGAGCCCGGGCGGCGCGGCGCGGCGTTCGCACCTGCTGGACGGGGACCGGGGACGGCCGCGGCAGTGAATGAACTCGCCCAAATTCCAGCGCGGGGTTCTAATTAGCGGCTGGGAGGCAAACAAACCGAGAAACCGAGAAACCAAGACGGCGCACGAAAATTAAAGGGTTATCCAACTTGGTCCCCTGCTGCTGCTGCCTGCTGCTTACTGCTGGCTTCCGCGTCCTGCCGATGGACCACTGAGATGCCGCGCGTCCTGTCGCCCTGTCCTGCCGGCCAGGCGGGGCGGGGCGGGGCGGGGCGGGGCGGGGCGGGGCGGGGCGGGGCGGGGCGGTGATGCAAGCTAATCAGGCCGCCCTTATCGCTGACCCGGACGACGCGCCCGGTGGACATGCCCAGCGCGGCCAGGCCAGGCCGGACATGGCCGGACGGGACGCACTGGTGAAGTAACTCGCCGAAGTAGTGCGCGGTGCGCGGCAGGCCGAGGTCGGCGGGGCGGCAGGGCGGCGCCACCAGCGGAAACACAAAGGGCGCCACACTCGCCAAATTATGCGGCATTGTGCGCGTGTCCGCGGGGTTTTGGAACAAAAACAACAACAACAACGAAGGAGGGTTGAGGTTGAGGCTGCTCCCGGTTTTGACGGCCTGCTCTGTGATTGGTGCGCTTGGCGCTCCGCGGACGCGATTTGTCTCACTCTCGCCGCGCGGCCACGCGGCTCCTGCCTCCGGAAGGCGGGCGAAAGGCGGGGACTCGGCGAGTGTTTGAACCCACGCCCCGCCCAGGCTAGCCCAGGCGGCGGTCGTTTGCCCCCCATAACGACGCGATGCGCGCTGCGCGGTCGCTGCGCGCACCAAGTGGCCATTCCATTCCATTACGCTCCACTCCACTCTATTCCGCGTGGGGGTCGTTCGCCGCGGCCGCCGTTTTAGTGGTGGCGTCGTCGTGGGCCGCGGCCGGGGGGGCTGGGGTCAGCGCACTGGACGACGGGCATCGCGAGGCGAAAGAGAGAGGCGTTGCATATTTAGACGGCGGTAACACCATTAGCGGCTTGACGGCATCCTGGCCAGGATGGCGGGATCCCGCGGGTCATCCCGTGCAGCGTCACCGCCGCCGCGGCCGTCACCGTCACCCTCGGCGTCAGTCGGGGGGCACAAGCCAAGCCAGCAACGCGGCCCGCGACACTTTCCCTCGGTTTGGGCGGACAAAAGGCGGAGGACAGGCCTGTGACTAAAACAGACGGTCGGTGAGGGGAAGGGGGCGGGGCAACGAGCCGGCAGCGGTGGCAGCTACCTCATCAAAGCGCTACGCACAGAGCCACAGAGGCGTCGTGCCGAGCACTTTTCCTACTTGGAAACAAACGCCGGGGAACGGGCTGATTTTGTTCCAGGACGCCGTCGTCATCATCACGGCCGCCTCGCGATGGCGACAAAAAACCGATAAGGCGTTCACCTGTCGACACCCGCTGGGCTGCCGTCCGGTCCGCCCGGCCCCCGGCAAGGCCCAGGGCACAGTGGGCAAGAAGGCCGGTGGAGGCGGACAAAACTCTAGACGCGTTTTGAGTTTCAGAGTCGCTAAATGGGACTCGAACCAAGCGTCTGACCCCACCAATGGATTCCTCGTTCGGAGAGCAATCCATTGGTGCGGTCACACGTTCGGTTCGAATCCTGCTTAGCGACTCAGGAGCTCGAAACGCGTCTAGCGTTTTGGCCGCCTCCACCGGGTTTCTGGCCCACTGTGCAGGGCCAGGGGCCAGGCAGCCAGGCAGCCACCGCCGCGGGGGACTCCATCACGACGGCCGCGGCGCTCGGACCTCCCGGACGACATCAAGGACCCCGGCGACCCCGTCTGTCCGTCCGTCTGTCCATCCGTCCGAGGCAGGGCCGAAGGGACAACCCATTTCCCCGCTCCAAGTGGCCGCCCCTCCCCCCTCTCCCTTCGCCCATTGTCTCGGCCGGCAGGGTCGTATCGATGGCGACCCTAATAGCGACCTCCTCCCCCCTTCACTTCACGCTACAGAATGCTCGCCCGCAGGGGGCTCAAATGCAACAGAAGTGAGATTAAGCCACAAAGGGAACGACGCCTGGCGAAAACAATGCGTTTTGGTTGCGGGCGCTGCGCTGCAGACTGCAGGGCTGGCAGGGCGGCGGCGTCGCGGTGGCGCCGTTGTTCCCGTGCGCCTTTATGCAGTGCCTCCTCTTTGTGTTTTTTTCGCTTGGCGGACCTTACGCGATTACACGCCTCGCGCCGCGCCCGCAGACCGATTCCGAAGATCCGTTCTGTCGCTTTGTCTCTGTCGCACTCATGGAGCGCCCCGTCTCGGTGCGAGAAAGACAGTCCTGGGATGCGACTCCTCGCGCAGTGGGCTTAGTGGGAACGCGCCCCCGAACACTGCGAACGCGCCGAGAGAGGCGTTCTGCTTGTCAGCGGCATGCTGGAGAGCGCCTGGGAGGTAGGCAGCGCCGTCGCGCGCGCGTGCATGGAAGGCCTCTGGTTGCCTACTGCCGCGGCGGCCGACGGCCAGGGCCTGGACAACCTCGGCCTGGGCAACCACGGCCTGGACAACCACGGCCTGGACAACAACGGCCTGGACAACCTTGGCCTGGACGGCCACGGCCTGGACAACCACGGCCTGGACAACCACGGCCTGGACAACCACGGCCTGGACAACCACGGCCTGGACGGCCACGGCCTGGACAACCACGGCCTGGACAACCACGGCCTGGACAACCACGGCCTGGACAACAACGGCCTGGACAACCTTGGCCTGGACGGCCACGGCCTGGACAACCTTGGCCTGGACGGCCACGGCCTGGACAACCACGGCCTGGACAACCACGGCCTGGACAACCACGGCCTGGACAACCACGGCCTGGACGGCCACGGCCTGGACAACCACGGCCTGGACAACCACGGCCTGGACAACCACGGCCTGGACGACCACGGCCTGGACAACCACGGCCTGGACAACCACGGCCTGGACAACCACGGCCTGGACAACCACGGCCTGGACGGCCACGGCCCAGATGGCCGCGCGGATAGCCTGGCGCTTCCCCACCGAGGCGAGACGCGACACGACGGGGTGCACTCGGCTGCGCCCGTGGCTGTATTACGTCATGCCACCGCACCCTACAGGAACAACCATTTTCTGCAGCGGATGAGTTTTTCTGAAGGAAAGTAAGACATACAAAACGGTCCAGATACCCCATTCCCGCGACCCCGCTCCACACAGTGCTCCACGCCGCCACACGCTGGCGGGGCTGACTGAGACACTAATGCGCTCCTCAGGACGTAATCTAGAGCATGACGCAGGGCGACGCGGCGCGCAGCAGCCTGGCCGAACAGGGCTTGCGGCGCTCTGTCCCTCTCGCACTCGGGGGCGTCCCGTAAGGGTGCGAGAGAGACAGAGCGGTGGAGCGCGGTGCGGAACCAGTCCTCTGAGCCTCTCCGGAATGAGCCAAGTCAAGTGGGGGGCGGCCAAAGAGGATTGAGGATTGAGTATTCCCAGGCCGCGGCGTGGCGTCCCTTGGCGATCCGATCTCCGTGTTTACGGCCATATCATTACCGGCTGACCTCTCAATCCCACAGGTGGACGATTCCGAGTAACTGTAGCCCTGTGTGCCCCGTGTGCGTTGCGCTGCCCTGCGCTGCTCTGGGGCCGAATGCGAGGCTTTGGGCTCGGAAGGGCTCGGCTGCCCGAGGGCCGCCCCGGCCGCCCGCCAACCGGACAGCAGGCGTGCAGGGCGGGGAGGGGCGGGCATGCGGGCGTAGCCAGGCGTGACTACATGCTTAGAACGGTGGGGCGGGGCGGGGCGGGGCGGCCGGCCCTAATGCCTCCATGATGACTCCCAGTTCGGCCCTTGGCGGGGCGTGCGCGGTGGCGTGCATGGCGTGCCTCACGCTGTGCCACTTGTCGCGCGCGCCGCACGCCCTGCACGCCACGCACGCCCTCCTTCAGCCCGATTCCGATTCTCGCGCCAAAACGGCAAAACGCCGCCGGATCAAACAATGGCCTGCGCTCTGCCGTCCGCCTGCGTCCACCGCTTGCCGAGTGGCGCTGCGGCGCCGGAGAGCGCGGCGTGTCCAAAATAGTGAAAAGCAACAAGCGGACGGGGGAAAAAATATTTGATGCACAGCGAGATTGTTCTGGCTGGGCGTGACCGACGCGGGCGTGGGCCTGCGCCGCGCTGCGATAACTCTAGGCCAGCGCCCCCTTCCCCTCCCCCCGCGATCTTCGGCGAGGTGGCCTGCCTAACGGCACCGCGGCGCCGCCTCTTGGACCATTTGGGTGCGACGGGGAATCGCCCGCCGGGGATTCGCCCGACGGGGTAACGGATATCCTGCCTAATCCGGCGCCAGATAAGCAACAGGTGGGGCCAGGTGGGTCCCAAGTCCCAGGCTCGGGGCGGGGCCGGTCGGGGCGGACATGCAAAATCGCTACAGCGGATCGGACAACTGTGAATTTGCTTCGTTTTTTATGTTGTTTTTTCACTCACCGGTGTTTGGTGGCGGCGGCTGCGGCGGCTGCGGCGGCTGCGGTGGCCCCGGCCGCGAGGATGGCGACGACGGCGTCCCGGTGGAGGTGGTGGTGGTCGTCGTGGAGGTGAGCGGGCCGGCCGTGGACGAGGCACTCAAGGACGCGGACGGCGTCGCCGGGATGGCCTGCAAGAACCGCGAGGTGAGCGAGGAAGGCCAAAGCAGGGCCGAGTGGGATGGAGTGAAGCATGAGGGTTGAGCGGCACGGGGGCACGGCGTGTGCGTGTGGCAAGCGGGTTAGTGTCCTTCAGCGGTCGCTTGGCAGGGGGTGGAACAAGGTGGTGTGCGGGCGGTGAGTGAGTAAAAGCCTTGGGGTGTTAGTGTGGTGTATACCTGGGTGGGCTTGGCGGACTCCGCCGAGACCGACACCTCCTCGATCGAGGACTCCAGCACAGTGCCGCCGGGCCGTGGCTGGGGCCGCGGGGTGGGCGCGGACCCCTGAGAGGCGCTGGACGGGCTGCTGGAGACTGTGCTGGAGGCGCTGGAGGCGTTGGGGGCCGCCGCCGTGGAGGTGGGCGAGGCCGTCGTGGTGGACGACGCGGAGGAGGGTGTGGGCAGCATGACCTGCACCAACGTCCACGTCATTGCAAAAGTGTATCTCAGTCCGTCTTTGGGTGGTGCGTGGTTCGGATGAGTCGATCGCGCGCCGGGCGGGGCGGGACGGGGCGGGGCGGGGCGGAGCGGACACCGTTACGGCTCGCTGGGCGTTAATTGACAGTCGGACGTCGATGGCGTCGATGGCATCGGAATGCCATGCAGCATACTCCGCCAGCAGAGCTATTCCGCGCAGCGTTTCGTGGCTCCGTCTCCCTCGTGCGTGCAGCTTGACGCAAGGGTGCGAGAGAGATAGAGCGTCTTCGAAAGCACTGTTCGGAACTAGCCTGCAGGCTGCAGGCGAATCGGGGAAGTCCCGCGTAGAGAGGCGTAACTGTGACGCCAGAGCCTCGGCGTTCCGCGGTGTTACACTGTTACGTCTAGCTGGGCCGCGCCCCGTGAGGATGCTGAGATAATCAGCCATACGTGTGCACCACGCCGATGACTCTGGCCCGGGGCCCAAGGCCCTCTCGCGGGCCAAGCACCCGAAGTCACGCAGCTACAGGACGGGCACGGCACGCGGACGGGGTCCAGGGGAACGAACGGCCGAGCCCGAAGCCAATCAACGCTGCGGCGCCGCCGGTAAAAACTAAAATTGGAAAACGTGTTTTTGTGTGTCGTCATGGCAGTGTCAGTTTGTGTCAGTTCGTACGGTGTTTGCGGACGTGCCGCGCAGACGTGTCGAGGTGGCGTGTGTCCTGCCGCTCTCGCCCGCGGCCGGGGCAGCAGCGGCAGAGCGACTACTTGAAGGTGACGAACGGACGGCCAGGTTCCCACGGGTTGACGGCGAGGCGCAAGGCCCGCAGGGCGCGCCCCGAGGCCAACTAACACCTCGCCGCAGATTGCCCCTCCCCTCTCCTCCCCCGCGAACAAATAATTGGATTGGTTACGGGGTGGCGGCGAGCACGGCGGCGAGCACGGCGGCGTCCGAATTTGGCGCGTCCGTCCTCGCCGTCCTCGCAGGCCTTTCCCAGTCCAGGGAGAAGCCGGAGGCGTCCGAGGCGGTCCTTGGCGCCGGTCCAATCTATTCGCGGCCCGATGCAGTCAGGGCGACAATGGCTGACTGCTTCTGCTTGGCAGTGCTTCGCGGCGCTTCGCACGGAAGTCGGGAATCAGGCGTCGGTGTCTAAGTCGGCCGGGAAAAGGCACACGATCATTCTCAGCCTCGGCGGCGGCGCATGGCTGCGGTGGCGGCCCTGGCGGTGGTTTTAATAATGACCGTTTTCAGGGATTGCTCGCTGGAGGCGGTGAACCAGAACGCAAATTGCGGTGCAGAGTTTGCGCCAGTCAAGTCCAGGCTAGAGTTTGGCGTTTTATGTCGTGGTTGGTTCAACTGTACTGGTGTTGCTGGAGTTTTAAGGGAGATGTCTGCTTACCTGAGTCGAGGACGTGGAGGACGTGGTCGATATCTGCAGGATGGTGACGCTGGGCGTCGCCACGGGCTCCTTGTCCTTCATCTTCTCCTTGTCTCGCTCCCTCTCCTTGTCCTTCTTGCTGGGCGGGCCGGCCTTGGTGCTCTGGGGTTTGGTCGGGGTGGGCGACGGCGGTGAGGGCGGTGGCGACGGGGACGCCGGCGGCGGCGTGGGCTTGGGGCTGGGTTTGGCGGTCGGCTTGCTGCTGGGCCGCACGTCCACGACGTCGTCTTTGGCCGTGGAGGTGGTTGGCGGCGGCGAGGACGGCGGCGGCGCCGGCTTGCTTGTGACTTGCTTGTGGGGGTTGGAGATCGGGATAGGGATGGGGCCCGCTGGGGGCGGCGCGTGGGGCGCGGGGCCCTCGTCGGGCGTCTCCTGCACGGGCGGCACCGGGGGCGGCGCGGCGGCAGGCGGCGGCACGGCGGAGCTCACGGGCTCCGGGATGTCGAACGGGTATGGCGGCGGGATGCGCGTGCTCTGGCCGTTGGGGCCGAAGGGTGGCGGCGGCGTGAAGGACTGCTGCGGGGGCGGGGGCGGCAGGGGCACCACCGCGGGGGTGGGAGGCAGCGGGTGCGGCACCTTCTCGAAGTCTGGCGGTGGCGGCAGGTCGGTGATCCTAGGCGGCCCACGGTTGTTGATGCGCGTGCCCATGTTGACGGGCCGCACGGGCCGGCCCATGCCGATGGAGCCCATGCTGCCCTTGGGGGTCTGCGGGTTGGTGTTGACGTTCACGTTGCCGTTGAGCAGCTTGACGATGCCTGTGATGATGTCCCGCACGCGGTCCGTGCCGCCGTTGTTCCCCGCCGTGTCCCTGGCCTGGTGGCCGTCGGTGGCGTTGGTCTGCGCCGTTGGCTGTGGCTGCAGTGGGGTGGCCTCGCTAGAGGTCGTCGTGTTGTCGGGCCCCGCCACCGCTTCCACCGGGAGGGACCGTGCCCTTCCCGGACCCCGCGAGGCCCGCTCCTCTTCCCCCGACGCCGTCGACGCCGTCCTGGTCGGCTGGATGTGGTCATAGTAGGCGGCGCGGGCCGCCGTCACGTCCACGGCGTCGCGGCGCTCCACGGCGGGCACCGACGACGGCGCCGGCGGCGCGGGGGCGTCGCTCAGCAGGTTGTCGTCGGGCTCGGCGTCGAGCGGAGGCGCGGCGGTGTCGATGGAGCGCGTCCGCAGCGTGTGGGGGTGGCCGTCGAGGTCATCTGAGGTCTTGGCGGAGGGCACGCTGGTCCTGAGCTGCTGCGGCACGGCGCCGTTGCCCGCGGCGCGCGTCCCCACCTGCCAGGCGTCGTCGACGTGCTGCTGCGGGTGCTCGGGCCCCGGCGCCGCCGCGCTCAGCGAGGGCGTGCTGCCGGCACTCGAGGCCACCGCGACACCTGCGGAACATCAACAAAGCGGGTAAGTACAACGAAATGGCGCTCAACGACCTACCGAATGGCCGGGCGGGGCCGCGACGGCGTGGCGGCAATGCGCGCCAACGCGGGGCAACGCGGCAATCTGGAAATGCCAGCGACGCGAACCGCCTCGGTCTTCGCCTCGAAGGATGTATCTCACCGCGCAGGTGTGTTTAGCGCGCGCACACGAACACACACTCAAAGCGCACTCACACGGACGCGTGCCGTATCAACTGGGTTTCTGTGTCGCCAACATGTGGGCGGTAAACGCGGCTGGCGGGGCGGGGCGGGGCGGGGCGGGGCTGTCACGCTGCTGAGGACGGCGTTCGGACATAAGTGCAGCATCGTGCCCCCGCCACGCCCCGCCGCGCCCCGCCATCAATGCGGATTAGGGGGTGGGTGGGAAGCACGGCACGGCAAGGCACGGCATTCCGAGGAGCGAGGCGACTCGAAGATGACAATCATTATGTTCACCGCGCTCGGGCTTTACTGACTCGCGGATATTTCTTCTCACACGGCGGGGGGAGGAGGGGGGAGGGGCACCTGACTTGGGTGAGTGGGCAGTATTGTCTACTGTACACGCCGGGATAATCATGCTCGTACACTGAAGTATTCTGAAATATTGTAATTGTTGACATTGTTTAGGGATATCCTTGATATTTGGAGGAGCTAAGGAATATTCACCAGTACTCAATCCAGGACTTAGATATTCAACGGTTTTCGCCAAGAGTTCTGTCCGCACTGGCGTTCACGACTGTGGACATGACGCGAGACAGGTGCCCAGGGCACCGTGCCCCGCCGGCCCGTCGTTGGCACCGCCCTGCAGGCCTGCACAGTGTGCACACCGCGCCGGCCTCGTCACGACTCGCAGTGCCTTCCCTTTCTACGGTGGGGCGGGGCGGGGCGGCAGTGATTAGCAGGGCGCGAGCAAGCACTGCGCTCGGCACCGTGCCCTTGCCTCCCCCGCCAGATGCCCCATTTATTCCGATTCGCAACCTTTCACGAGATCCATTGCCGATCCGATGCAGCCCGCCCCGCCAGCCCTCGCTGCAGGCTGCGATACGATCCGCCACGACGTCGTCCTTTCCTTTCTCCCCGACAAAGTGTTGTCGCGTCGCCGGGATGACGATGACGTCTGGGCGCTTCGCGGCTTCGCGGGCTGCCGAAGCCCGGGTTTCGCTCTCGCCGTCGTGGCCTTATTCGGCCGGCTCGGCTCTCAGTCCGACGCCCAGCGGGGGGCGGGGCGACCTGGGGGCGACGCGACACATCCCGATGGAGCAGTAAAACGGGCAGGGCGTGTCGTGATAGCCGCCCAGCGCAGGGCCAGCCCGCCAGGAGTCATCGTTGTCCCGCTCGGAGATCAGAGGGCCGGGCGATGATTCCACGATCGCCCCGTCACGGAAGCTAAGTTATCGGTGGGTCTCCGGTGTGCCAGATAGTCTCTCAGGAAGGGTCCGCGGGAATTTCTTTTCGGCTCTCCTGACGCATGCGCTGCCGCCATGGTGGTGTGCCCGTCCAGGATGGTGTCAAAGGTCAGTCGGCTTTAATTCCGAGGCCCTGATTACTGCCTCGGTCTGCTCGGCCCCGTGACTCATGGCTCGGCCACTCTGGTGCCAAGTTTGGCGTGCGCTGCCATGCAGGCCGCTCCTCCCTGAGTCTCGGGGCGACCGGAGGAAAGCCCTCTAAGTACACAGTAGTGGCCGGCCGGCCGCCAGCTCGGCCTGACCGCACCGCGCACCGCGGGCCGCATGCGGCACAAACATGTGTGTCAAACCGCAATCACATGGAATACAGACTAGCGGGACGCGGACCCTTGACGTCGAGCGGGGTCAAGCGAGCCTCGCGGCGGTATGACCTATCAGGACCGGCCGGCAGGATGGCAGAATCGCTTCCCGCCCGCGGCCCGCCCCGCCAGCGCCAGAGGGAACCGCGAACCGGGGCAGGCTGGGCACGATCACCCCTGTGTGTGCGTCCGCGAAACGGTTCCACGATCCGGCCAAAGCAGCTACTCATAGGTGTGCGTGCGGGGTGTTAGTTTTCCGACGCCGGGGAGGTTCCGCGTGGAGGTGGCGGCGGAGGCCGTGTGGGTGGACGGACGGCGTGGCCGGCGTGGCGGTCGACGGCGTGCTCCCACGCCATTGGCTGCGACGGCCGGCCTAGCGGCGTGGCCGAGGTGCTTGGCCGTGCACTAGAGCGATGCACTGCTCCGGGAAATTTACATGCCGAATAATTGATTCCCGGCGTTTTATTAGTGGCCGCACGGCGCGGTAACCGCGCGTCCCACACGCGCGCCGCGCACGCCGCGCACGCCGTGAGAGCCAAGACGGGCGAGAGGCTGACCGCGAGTGGGCGCGGCGGGGTGGACGTCCGCGCCCAGGGCCGCATGCACGGGAGGGTCTCTCATGCACCGGCCAGTCCTCGCTGTCTCTCTCGCTGGGTGCCCCGCAGGGGTTGCGACAGAGACAGAGCGGCCAAGCACTTGTTCGGAATCGGCCCGGTCCCCACGTGTCTATCGACAATCTCAATCCCTGAGCCAGCAGCCTTTACTCGGAGGGCTGGCCCCTCATTAAAACTGCACACATGCCGGGCAAGTCAATGAGGCCTGGGCAACTTGCTGCCGGGCGCTGCCTGCCATGCTGCGCAGAAAACGCTCCCAGGAAGACGGTCCGGCCGGGCGGGGCGGGGCGGGGCGGGGCGGGGCGGGGCGGGGCGGGGCGGGGCGCAGAATGTAGAGGCTACTTTGTATTGCAGCAGTCCGATCATTTTCCACCCGGCAGACTGGAGGGCGGCTCCCTGCCATAGAGGAAGGCAATTTTCTTTTGTCTCTTTTTTCGCTTCACATTGCATACTGATCGTCGCTGCCCGTTGCTTATGAAAGTCACCGATTCAACGTTTGAGACGCTGGCTTTTGCACATATGTACCATAAAAATAATAATTTTGTTTTGAGTTGCGTGGACGTCCCTCATTCCTGTTTTGTCCCGCGATTTTCCCAGGAGACAGCCAACCAATACCTGTATCAACACACCCACCCGAGGGGCTGACGGTCCTCTGAATAAAAAACAAATCTCACGCACCCCCCCCCCTTCCTCTCTCCTATCGTCCATTGTGCGTTTGCAAAGGTCAATGCTCCAGCGAATGCAGTACCCTGATGGGAATTTATGGACGACTTTGGATGTCGTATTCTTGACGTCCAGGGACATCCAGGATGTTCCAATGACATCCACGGATATCCGGAATGTTTCATTCTGGAAGTCCCTGGATGTCAGCTCCTCACATCCAAACAGGTCCAACCACATCCACCGACATCCAAGCGACATCCAAACGTCATCCATTCACATCCAACGACGTTCCCTGACAGCCCAGCCACATCCATTCAGATCCACCGACATCCATATCCAGTAACGACCTCCACTGTCATCCGTTTGCATCCACCTGCATCCATTCTCATCCATCGGCATCCATCGACATCCATTCACATCCAAATCACATCCATCGTCATCCATTCACATCCTCTCTCATCCAATCACATCCAAATGACACCCATTCTCATCCATCGACATCCGTTCACATCCAAATGACATCCATTCTCTTCACACATCATCCATTTACCTCCATATGACATCCATTCTCATCCATCGTCATCCATTCACATCCAAACGACATCCGTGCTCTTCCACCTACATCCATTAACATCCAAAAGACATCCATTCTCATCCAAAGACATCCAATTGACATCCATTCTCATCCACCGTCATCCATTATCATCCATATGACATCCATTCTCATCCACCAACATCCACTCACATCCAAATGACATCCATTCTCATACACCGTCATCCATCATTAACGTCCATATGACGCCTAATCTCATCCATCGTCATCCATTAGCTTCCATATGACATCCATTCTTGTCCATCGACATCCATTCACATCCAAATGGTCCTGTGGAGGAGCTCCCAAAGGAAGTTTCTAAACCTAAACGACCGTTGGGCGCAAAGGCCGAAAGGACCAAGTATGGTGAATGATCGCAAAAATGTCCTACAGCCTACTTAAAACATCAACCAACACTGTAACCGAGAACGAACAACGGAACGTTGAGCACAGCGCCATCTGGCGGCGGCTCCATGAACCTCATCCTCACACTACGAATGTTCGGGCGCTCACATCACCGACATACATTCTCAACGACCGTCATCCATTTACATCCATCGTCACCCACATGCATCCAAATGCCATCTCTTTGCATCCCAGCAACAACCAGGCACATCCAAGCGACATCCATTCAGATCCAAGTGACTTCTATTCGAATCCAAGTGACTTCCATTCACATCCATCGCCATCCACTCACATCCAAACGACATCCCTACTATTACAGTCACATCCATTCACATCCAAATGACATCCATTTTCATCCATTCACATCCAAATGACATCCATTCACATCCATTCTCATCCATTCACATCCAAATGACATCCATTCACATCCATTCTCATCCATTCACATCCAAATGACATCCATTCACATCCATTCTCATCCATTCACATCCAAATGACATCCATTCACATCCATTCTCATCCATTCACATCCAAATGACATCCATTCACATCCATTCTCATCCATTCACATCCAAATGACATCCATTCACATCCATTCTCATCCATTCACATCCAAATGACATCCATTCACATCCAAATGGCATCCAAGTGACATGGATGTTATTTGGATGAGAATGGGTGTCATTTGGATAAAAAGGGATGACGGTGGATAAAATTGGATGTCATTTGGGTATGAATGGAGGTAAATGGATGTCATTTGGATGTGAATGGATGAAAATGGATGTCATTTGGATGTGAATGGATGTGAATGGATGAAAATGGATGTCATTTGGATGTGAATGGATGACAATGGATGTAAATGGATGTCATTTGGATGTGAATGGATGTCAATGGATGTCAATGGATGTCATTTGGAAGTGAATGG